ATTCCTATGAGGACTAGTTAGGAGAGGTACAACCTCATTTCAAACCCTCAACCTAAAGAGTCAGCTGAACAATTTTACTAAGACTGTTCAAATAGAGTTAGTGAAGAGCTCGATGCCTGTCATAAAAAAGATGGATGGGTTCAGTTATATGAAGTGAAGACTTGCATGTTTCCTCTCAAAACACTCAGCCTAGACATACATGGTTTAAGAAGACAGTGCTCTATATGAGAGATCCTATTTGTGCTTGCTTATTGACAGTACAAATGCATGTATAAGCGCTGTCTATTTGTTTTCTTGTGGTGAGAGGGGTTTAAATTTAAATATTTTTCTAGTGTTTTCTATGTTTCTATGTTTTTCTTGCTTCTTTTCTTTGCTATCAGCAACTGAAGGTATCATCATCAGCTTAAAGTTTTAGCAATTGGCTCTTCCCATGCCAATCCAGTAATCACTGGATGGCACTATTTTATATTTTGTTGTAACCTCTGGTGGGTTTTTTCTGTTTTGTTTTGGTTTTGATTGGTTGATTTTAGAGGCAGTGTCTTGCTATGTACCTGAGAATAAATTTGAACTTTTAATTCTTACATCTTTACCTTCTGATTGCTAGGATTACAGGATTATGGAGTACTGATGACCAAACATGGTGCTTTATGAAAGGTATCCTGATACTTTATCAATTGTTCTAAAACATTAGCCCATTTGTTTCATGATGGCCCCATTTTTATTGGTCTTTTTTTTTTTTAATCATTCCACCTTAGATGCTTACTCTCAATATAGAATGTCAGTTGTCAATTTTACTTTGCAGTATTAAATTGGGACAACTTGTTAATATATTTAAGCATTTTTCTACCTCTCTTTTTTGCTCCATTCTTTTACTACATCTAGTCCTGACCCCATCAGAACATTATCGACAGGTGCTTTGAAAATTTATTCCCTATTATGTCAGTTTTTGTGGTCAATCACTTTATTGTTATCCTATATAGTCATATGTCTTCTCATTTCTTGTACACATAAGTGGAAAATTCTCATCTCAGAAAGATAGATCCAGAAATGGGGAGAGAATCAGGTACATTTTTCTACATATACATTGCAACTTCTGTTTGTAATTGCACACCCAATTTTAGAAAGTGTTGTCTAAATTCGCTTATCCTATTTCTTCCTCTATTATTCATGGATTAATGTTCTTTGATATGGATTTCTGCCACATTCTCTTATAAAATTTCCACTGCAAAATTAACTAATGATGTTCCCCTTTAATATGAGAGATACCTCACATCTGAGTGTGCACTACTGAACCTCTTTACAAACATTGTTACCATGTCATTGCTTTCCTTGGCATAACTTCACTCCATATTTCTCTTTTTGCTTTGTCTTTCCTGGCTCAGCTTCGTGTATGCCTTCTCAGCTCTCTAGTGACTAAATAATGAAGTCATTTATAGCACTTTCTGTTTGGGACCTTTTCTTTTATCTTTCTAAGGTCTATCCTTTCATAATCTCATTCACCATCTTGGCTTCAGGAACTATCTAGAAGTCAATGATTTTAAAGTTATTCATTTGACCCAGATTGTTGAGGTTTATTCTGTAAATGAGATGGACTTATGGATATACCTAGTGTGCTAAATTACAGCCATTTCACGAAGAACTTAACTACAAACATCACAAGCCAGAATTCAAAATCATCATTGACCCTCCTTGTTCTTTATTAGGTATGGTCAATTCTCTTTTAGAACCAATAGTGGAATTCTTGTATTTGTCTCCATCTCTTTCATTACCCACCGTTACCCACTTGTCATGTCTGATGTGATGTAAAGTTTTCCAGATACATCTTTCTATGTTCTCTCCTCCTTTTCATGTCAACTCATCCACCACAGGTTATTTTACAATGGGAAGCTTACTACATCATTTCCTGTCTAAGGCCATACATGGTTTTCATTGCACTTAGATGGAATGTCATATTTCTTTCATTGGTCACTAGGACCTCATGTGCCTTTCTCTTCCCTCTTGCACTGGTGTGATGTGATTCATTCTCTTTTCTACTCATTCTGTATGCTTCAGTGACCACACTGTTTGTCTTTTACTTCCCCAATAATATCAGCTTGTTCTCTATTTAGGGAAATTGCCCAGGCACTTTTTCTTTCTAAATTCAAATGCTGCTTTCACTTGATCTCAAGCTTTACATTATAATTTCTTCTTCACCTATATGATATTGAGAACTTTTCCTGCTACATGTAAGCTTTGGGGAAATTTGTGATTTAATTCTTCTAACACTCAGATGCACTTGCAATGATAGCACAGTGTAGGTGCAAACTTCAGGACTCTTAACACCTGCCAACAAGATTCTGGCACATAAATATTTGTTAAGGAGAGGAGTGGTGTTTACATTAAACTTCTTTAACTAAAGACTAAAGTTTTCTCATGCATCTCCCCTTTTTTCACCATTATTCATGTTAATTATAGCTTGCAACTAAAAGTTATTACAGTGATGGTGATGGATTCAAAGTGAGATTTTTCTTTCTTCCCAGCACTACCACATATGATAGCAATGCTTGTTATAGAACTGCACATCTAAATTTGGAAATGAAGATCTAAGAAGTATATTTTCATGCTTTCTCCACTTTCTAATAGGGGATATCAAAATATGAAATGAAATTTAAATGATAATAGAAAAGTACGAGAAACTGTGTCCTCTGAAGGACCTCTATCTTATTCTGAACTGAATATTCAAAATCTGAGATGGACAAAGTGATTGAAACTCACCTGTCTTTTTTCCAAATAGTAAAATAATTGTAGCAAGAAGAAAATAAAAATCACTAATGAAAAGGATTCACTCTGTAAATTTTCTAGGTGTTGCATGTGTTTCTGTCTCTAGAAGGAAAACTGTTGTGTGCCTTCCAGTGTAATTTAGTCTCTGAAAAATTAACATGATGACAATGCATGTTTCTCAGATAACTATGTAAAAAAGATGCTGTCATAAATAATAAGACCCCTTGTACTGACTCATGACGACATTTCTATAAAGCAAGCACATATCTGATTAGAAATGTTCATGCACCGATCATAAACAGGCAGATAGCAGAGGATTCTGTGAAAGTTTATGCTTCGAAGGGGTTAAGCTTTGTCTGTAGTAAGAAGTCTCATATGCTGTTAATTTATTTATGTATTCTCTGAGCAAACCTCATCATTTAAAGGCAACATTTCCCCTACTTATTGCTAATTTGATGACTCATTTGACCTAAAATGAAGAATGATGCATTCCATTTATTTTCCTTTTTATCTAATACAATGACCATAAATGTACACTTCACTTTACTCACAAAACAATTCCCAACTCATTTTCTTTAAACACTATAAAGTTTGATTTCAGCAGTGGAAAAATTTGTGAAGGCTTTATTTTCATGATCAAAGGTCTAAAGTGATGGCAGAACAGGTAGGATCACACATTTCCCTTTCTGAGACTTGGGTTTGACTCCCGGAACCCAGGCTGAGTTACTAACAATTGGGTAGTTAACAATTGGCTGTGATTCTAAATCAGCATATCCAGTGGAATTTATATCCTCTTTTGGCTTTTGCAAGCACCCACATGCTTGTTTACATCCCCCTATGCACACATACACATAATTAAAAGCAATATAAATCTGTATGAAAGGACATGTGAAATGTACCTCTTCCTTTGCTATGGTTTTCCTAACTTCGAACTACTTTTTTCTTTCTGACACCTGCTTTTCCTCTAACAATTTTATCACACATTTCTTTTCCCTTCCCTTTTGAAATGATTAGGCTGCCTGCAATACTTGTTTCTAAAACTCAAATCAATTCTACACATATTAGTTTGCCTCAACCTATCAGCAATATTGAAAGTGATATATACCATATTTCTTAAAGGTAATAGTGAACCTGAACTCCATGCTTCTGCCAAAGCACTCCTGTTGATGATTTCATGGTGGTATTTTTAGTTTCTAGTAATTTGGAAAAAGGTGATAGGTGTCGAGTCAGAAATAAAGTGGAAAAATATGGTATCCAGCTCCATCTATATATAACACTTAGAAAATGTATAGAAAAGTGCGTTTCCATTCCAATAACACCTGTGACATTTAGACATTCTACAGGATTTCTGCTTTCAGACTTTGCCTCTATCACATGCAGGAACTAACTTTCTCTGAATATATTCAGAGACCTAAAACTAGTCAGACACACAGAAAGTATTTGGTTCAGTGTTTCATAAGTTTGTGTGCATTTATACCCTTTATAAGTCTTGATTATAATGGTTTACTAAAACCAGTGTCATATATAGAAAAACTTAGAAATATCAAACCAAGAACTCAATGTCAACTTGAGTTATATAAAACTTTACAAAGTTATGATCTTTGTGTCTAACAATATTCCACTAATAAAAGCTATGTTTGCATGATGTATATATCATATCTTATGAGATATACTTCCTTCATTGTAGATGGAGACAATTTGCTCATTAGCATAGCATATTTCCTTGGTTTACATTTAACTATCTTACTATCAAAAGACAAATTTTAATTCACAAAGTTCACCACACAGTTGTTCTAATTTTTTCTTCTGGCAATATTCTATATTTCCAATTTAGGAAGCAAAGCTATTTTATATTTTATACCTTTCCAATATAAGTTACTAGTAAATAATTACTGCTACTCAAAGCCCTTGATAATAGCTATATTTAAATAATTTAAAAAACAAACAATAGTATGCTTTTAAATGTACAGAATGGTCCCTCTTCCTCCTTCTATCTCTCTATTTCATTCTAAATTTTTAGTTGTAACATTATACACATGGTGAAAATAAGATAAAGTGAGATATCAACTCATTTCTGTAAGGGGAGTGGTTGTAGGCAAGGTATAGAATAAGTGAAAGAGAAGAGGTAATATGTTAACAGTTCCTATTGAAACAGATGACATGATTGACTTAAAACCCCAATAAAGAGTTCATCCAGAAGACAAGGCTATCAAAGCACCTGCCCACACAGAGACACTCACCTCTGCAAGCTCTTCCCTGGAGATCACTGCAGAGCTCCAGGATGGACTGGTTGCGAGCAACTCTGTGTGTCGTGCCTTAGCCTGCCGGTCTGTCACATAAAGAGAACAGTGACCACTTGGTTGATTAGCCTAAGGTGTTCTTTTTTGGCAGTAGATTTTCACCTGGAGAAAGAAAAGAATATCTTACATAGGAGCCAGTACTTCAATATCTTGTTCAAGAATGAATCACAAATAAAAATTAAAGGGTAATTTTTATGTTTCTGTATCATAATTTTCTGCAATTTTAAGGTTTTTTTCCTGAAATATAACTGTGCATTTGTAGTTTTATACATTTTTTCACTGTATATGAAGATAACACACCAAAACCATATGCTTGGTAGTAGTTAAGTAGCAAAACCATTAAGGCTCTGTTTCTCATCTTGTTGGCATTGGAATGAATCTTGCTAGGATCCAACTTGTAGTGTTGAAGTCTAATGGAAAGATGTATTGGTATGCATCTAGCCTGCTCACTTTATAGTAGCACAGTAAAAATTTTGGGAAAAAATGAAAAGAAAATCAGCATAGCACAAAGGATTTGATTCTTAAAATGGTTATTACTCTTTAAGAGTATCAGTCGTACTCCATCACACCAGAGAATACCTTCTTCTCTTGTATTCCATTCATGGATACCCTTTTGGTACAATAGTTCATACAATCTCTGCCCTCTCACTTCCTCTAACACAAGGGAGATAAAAATGAGTCATCTGATTGCCTGATGAGTTTCCTTAAAATGTGAGCGGTTCTAGAACTATTCTTCTGTTTTCTCTCTTTTTTTTTTTTCCTGAGGGATGTCTTCAGAAACTATTCATTTTTTTGTGTTTTCCTTACAGACAAGTACTATTGGTAATAAGTGATAAAGGTGGATATGGGTAGAACAAAGTTGTTGGTGTGCATTCAACTCGGGAGAATTGGAGATGATCAATGTCTGATTTCACAGTCATGGTCTCATGTCTCCTTGTGTGTGTGTGTGTGTGTATGTGTGTGTGTGTGTGTGTGTGTGTGTGTGTGTGTGCAAATGCTCACATTCATGTAATACATGGGTTCATACATGCACACTTGCACATATGCACATGTGTGTATAGGTGCTCTTGTATATGGGGAAATGTGGACTGATCAGATAATAACCTTAAGAACACCACTTCACTTGATTATCTACCTTACTTTTTGACATTGGGGATCTCATTGAACTTTGAGCTTGCCCTTTTGGGCACAATGTTTGGCCAGAATGATGTCACTATCTGTCTTCCTTCTCATCTTTACTTGCACTGTGTTCACAGATGCATAGCATGAACTATACAGAGTTTTATGTGGGAACTGAGTACCCAAACTCAACTCCTCAAGCTTGACTATTAAGCACTTTTCTCATTGAGCTCCTAAAACTTGTTTTTCACATAGATCTTTAGAGATTAGTGTAGGATTTATATACCTATGGATATATATTATTAGTCAGCTCCTAATAATATATTGTGTGTTTTGAAGTGTGCATATGATAGAGGGTCATAATTTTTAGTTACTTATTATATACATCACTTTGAATACATAATTGCCTTGATACTAAAAATTTAATCTTTACTTCTGGGTATTTTGAAATATACAATGTTTTACTGGCTAAAATCACCCTACTTTGGCATAGAACTCAGAATTTATCACTGTTTTCTGTAACTTCATAGATGTTTCCAACTTCTTTCTATCTTCTCCTTTTATCCTTTTATGACTTGAGTTTCCAGTCAATTATGAAAAAAAAATTTTTCCTGAAACTTATGAGAGGAACTACTGCTCCTCAATGTAGCTTCCTTTCCCTTTACATATTGGAAGTCCATATTATGTAATAAGCAAACACAAAGTAATAACTAGATCTGGGTCTGATGAGAGGTCTCAGTGATTACAGTGCTTTGTATGAAAGTGTGCAATCTAGAGTTCAATAACCAGAATCCATGTAAAAGTCCAGACACGGTGGCAAACTTTTCTAATCCCAGTTAATGATAAATGGAGACAGGTAATATTTGTGGCTTAATGGGTAGCCAGCTGGTCAAAATTGGCAAGACCAAGACCACGAGATAGAGACTCTATCTCAGGAAACAAAACAAAACAAAACAAATTAAAAAAAAAACCCAACCAACCAAATAAACAAACAAACAGAAAACATAGTAGATGGTACCTCAAGAGAAATGATAGCCAGGGTTGTCCTTTGTCTTCTACACTCACATACAAGTATACATGTTTGCACATACACACGTGTAACTGCACACATGTAGAAAAGTGTTTCTATACATACACAACTCAGCAACAATTATGATAATTGCATCAATAAACAATAAAATTACTCGCTTCAAATTCATATGAAGTTTTAACATATACCGTGTGTGTGAGAGAGACAGAGGGCCATTTGAACTAGTTTTAGAGAAGGAATTTCACTCTGCTGTTCATTTTCCTAATATAGTCATGTGTACATAGACAAAAACACCTCACTGTTCTTTACTTCCAAAGTGTGAATTCTTGGGCAGATTGCTGTTCCCAGTCTCAGTGTGGCAATGAAATATTTGGGCTTTGGTGTCATTTCCTTTTTCAGAGTTTTGGTACATTTTCAGCCTGTAATGAAGATGATAGCTAAATAAATGATTCAATAGTCAACCTAGTAATGGTTGTATTTAGCTTTTAGGGTAATCGTAACATCACTGTGGTATTAGTAATCTCATCAACTTTTTGGTTAGGGATGGATAAATAACTAGCTTTTAGTATGTAAATTACCAACAAAAACGTTTTGCAGAAAATGGGTCAGGTTAGAGATGTAAATGAGGCCTAAAATGTCTCATTAGGTTTTGAATTGCCTTTTTTTTCCCCAAGCATTATAAATCTTGTGAGCTTTTGGGGTAATTTTCTTGCTTGAATAAGTTAGTAAGGTCTTTTCCAATAATAAATGAACAAAAATACCTCTAAAACTAATTCTGCTTGAAAAGACAGAACAAATTGAATGTTGAAGTATCATTTATTAGAAAGTTATCCAATATTTCTCTTTCCTCATATTTTTAGATAATAAGGTGCCTAAGTCATTAGTAAAGATGCACAGATTTCACCTGCATCCCAGTGCTCAGGTGGGAAGAGAAATTTCTATCAATGGGTTCTGTCTAAAGTCAGTTGTCTATTTGAAGTGTACTTGTCAGACAGATAAGAGTGTGAATCATATCTCTGGCAAAGAAATGGATCATCTTTGAAGGTGGAGAATGTCTCTTGGGTTGTTTTCTATGACACTACACATTACTAAAATGTGTGCCCAGGACAAACACAGAGTACAATTGTGGTTTCCCTAACATTAAAGCTCTTGGGTCAGTGTTCACTGTGAAATTATAACCACAGATGTAGAAACCAGGGGATGCTACTTTAGATCTATGAGAAACTGATAAAAAAAAAACAGTGTGGCACCAGAGTGAAATAGTCAGGAGGCAGTTTAACACATCTTCCTTTAACCATATTAGTTTCTACTCTACAGACTACTAACTTAAAGCAGCCTAAATTAGCCTTGTGTGACCAAACATGAAGTGTTAGTTGGGTATGTGCTCATCTATCACAGCATTGCCAATGTTTAGGACACCTTAACATATCAAACTCAATTTGTTGCCAGAAAAGCTGCAAATGTGAAGTAGTAAATATGCAATATGCAATTATAGCAACTACCTATATTTGATGATCTTAAAAACATATAAAAGGGATTTTGATGGGGATTACATTAAATCTATACATTGATTTTGGCAAGATTGACATTTTTTCTATGTTTATCTTACCTATCTAAGAGCATGGGTGACTTTTCCATTTTCTGGCATCTTCTTTAAATTCTTTCTTTAAAGACACAAAGTTCTTGCTATATAGGTCTTTCACTTTATTGATAAGCATTACCCCAAGATATTTTATGTTGCTTGTGGCTACTGTAAAGGGTGATGTTTCTCTGATTTCTTTATCAGTCCCTTTGTCAGCGGCATATAGTAGGGCTATTGTTTTTGTTTTTTTTTTTTGTTTGTTTGTTTGTTTTTTGTTTTTTTGAGTTTATATTGTATCAGCACAATTCTTCACTGATCTTGAAAGGATAATACTCAACTTTATATATGGAAAAACAGAAGACCCAGGAAAGCCAAAACAACCCTGTATAATAAAGGAACTTCAGAAGGCATCTCCATTTCAGACTTCAAGCTCTAGTATAGAGCTATATTCCTGAAAACAGCTTGGTATTAGCACAAAAATAAACAGGTAGACCAATGGAATCAAACTGAAAATCCCAATATTGACCCACACAACTATGAAAACCTGACCTTTCACAAAAAAGCTAAAAGTATACAATGGCACAACTTGATGATGGTGTACAGAAGAGTGCAGATAGACCTGATGGGAGATGTCATTCTGTAAATATGTTTCTCATACTGGTTAATGAATAAAGCTCTGTTGGCCAATAGGAAAGAAAGATAGGTGGGACTAGGAAACAAGGAGGAAAGAAGAAGTGGTAAGGAGGAGTCAGCATGGGGAGACTGGAGAGAGAAGAACACCAGCCTGCTCTCTGGTAAGATCAGACCATATGGAATTACTTAAATTAATAGAAATGGGTTAATAATTAAGACAGAGCTAGTTGATAAGAAACTAGTACCTGGCCAACAGCATTATATCACATACAGTGTCTCTGTGTGTTAATTGGAGCTGGCACGGCGGTGGGTCTAGGCAAGCAAGGAAAAAAACCTTATTTGTAACATATGGCACCACAATGTGGTTTATAACAACTTCCAGTTAAAACTAAGAAAACCTAAAAAAAAATGGTTTTAGAAACAAAACAATAAAGACAAGCAAGGCTTCTTGATAGCACCATGTTTCTCAGTTAAACACTGTTTTGCTAGAGACAAACAGAGACTTGCGCGGCTCCTTTAAGGGAGATTTCCTGACTCAGCATAAGCGGCAAAAAACCACAAGGTTTTTAAAGAGCTCTGCTAACAACTGAATGGTGTGTACAAGAGCTGGCAATGGCAGTGACCACATCTCCAAGCTGGCAACATGCTGCTGGATGGC